AAAAAAAAAAAAAAAAAAGAATTAAAAAGAGAAATCATTTTGAAATATCTTGCTATACTTGTTAAAACATCAACGAAAGGTACTACGATCTAATTATTATCATTTTATCATCGTTATCCTTGGAAGTATGATATACAATATAATACTGTAATTCGTTTCCCTTCAAGGATTAGTTTTCTGCCACGCGAAAGGTAATTATCGTGTCGCGTTTCGTGAGAAAAAAGATGCCAGGAAGAGGAGGAAGAGGAGGAAGGAGGCTGCTTTGGCCGTAAGTGACACGCACGATGCGTGCCGTTAACGAGAAGCGAACAGACGACTTACAAGGGTAATAGGAAAAAACTTTAAATCTGACAATGAGCGTTACTTGCCCTTCCACAAAGGTGTAAAGCTTGCGTGGTCTTCTTCTCACTTTTTCAACTTCATTTCTTTTCTTTTCTTTTTTTTTCTCTCTCATAAAAAGCAACGCATTTCTGCATAACTTCCTAGCGAATAACAGGATGCGTGTCTCGCGAGGAATGTATAATGCTTTAGAAGAATCGCAGAAATAATGGGATTTTTAAAGAGATATGAAACACGAAAGAATGCGAGTATACGAGTTATTTTCTAATCGATCTTTAAGATATGGCATCCGAGGAATCTAATCAATTAATAATTTGAAAATATATTTTCTTAGTTAGATCTTCATCCTTTAGTTGAGTTAATAATTTTCCAAGTATAATCCTAAAACTTTGAACAATGTTGTGGCTCGTGCTCAACAGGAAATACTGAATTTCCTGGTTAAGGTAATCGCAGCCTTCGGTCATATAGCATAAGTGCATTGTTAATAGTAGGCCTGTCAACAAGAATCCTAAGTAGAAGCGCGGTTCTCTTACATACGCGTATTCGTACTTACTCGTGATGTACATACCAACATACATCGACATCCTTCGATACAAGGAACCAATTCACGGTCGTTGTCAAGTTTATGCCAAGGCTAATTCGCTTTAATTGATACATGAGATCTCACTAAACCTTACCCCTGTCTATCAAGGGTCACGCTAGCCTTCTGCCATTGAGTTCTCTCTCTTACATACTCACACAGGGATTCTCAAATTTTTATTCCCATATAATAATTTCACACGGCTGAAGGACTATTAGGATAATTCGGAGGAATAATCTAAAGGGAGAGTTATTTCGATTTTTTTTTTGTTTCTTTGCAATAGCTTATCCATAAGAGTAATCGAATGATCGAGAGTTATATAGTTATCGCTATAACATGATAGGCAAAATCGATGGATCGAAGCACCTCTGACATTGTGCGCTCATATGAGGATGTACCATTATAAATGCTATAAAGTTTCTAGATAGTGTCATGAACTTTGTTTGATTTACGTCGTATGATAGGGGAAGATGAAACGTTTGAAGAAAAATTTTCAAAACCATTAGAACGTGTTTTCTGCAAGACCCATGTAGCAAATTTCGCTAATTTACATAATTCTGTCAATTTGTTTTTAGATTCTTCAACGTATTTACCGGTAACCGGATAGAGAAGAAAAGTAGGAAGAAAAATAGGAAGATTTTGACATGACACGAGAGAAATTTTCACGAAGAAAAATGATAATCGCGAGATATGATGGAAGAGATCCAAGCAATCAACGAATTGGCATTTCCCACATCTTCTAAGTTGAACAAGGCAGAGAGGTATATAATACCGAGTAAAGATATAACATTCTCACTCTAAGCTCTCGGTATAATGCAATGGTGTTAGAATGACGAATAGACGGTAGTTTACACGGTAAGAAGCGCGCAGTGCGCACTCGTTGAAACAATTATTATTCTTCGGGTCGCTTTACAACGCCGGTTGAGCTTGGTATATCAGGTTCTGGCCTTTCGTATCGAACGATCACGACGTTGTACTTTCGTAAAACTTGTTGAACGATAATGCCGGTCTAATGGGCAAAATAATTCATTAGTTCTACGATGTCACCGTAGGTTCCTGCGTTTTATCTTTTTCTCTTCTTCTCTTTACTTTTTTTTTTTCTTTTCTTTCCTTCAATATCTTTACGTCAAACAAGTTGGTTTTTTAAAGCATCAATCATCTCTCTATCTTTCTTTCTCGTGGTAAATTGAAATAAAGACAGCAAGAGAATAAAAGATAAGGAGACGAAAATGGGAGGTAGGATCAAGGTTAATTGTTAGAGGTTGAGCACCGCGATTTCCAACGAGTCGTGGTCGAAGCATGGACCAGACAAAAGATCCTGGTTCTCACGACCACGCCCTCTCCACGCCGCCTCTGCCCTCCTCTGGATAGCAGCGATGCCTTCACGAAGGTACCTATCCACCGGAAATTCTTCAAGTACGAGCTCTTTCGACGTTCTGTATACATACATACACACACACATATCTATATACATATATAGATGTAGTATACCGATGCACGGTAACGAATAGTGTGCGACCTCTTTCAGCTTCTATCTCTGTCTCTTTTTCTTTCGTGACACGATAATAAATGGTCATATATGTACTAGCTGGTCTTCCTTAAAGAAGACAACTAGCACGTTTAGAAAAAAAGAATGTTTAGCATTCCTTCCCCTTGTAACTTTATTCAGGAGCGACTCGAATTTCATTTGGGATTTAAGATCAAAGTCAAATGTTCGCTATTAACTTACCAGTGTGAGTCCTCTTGTGTGCCTTCAGGTGGGAACTTTTCGTGTAGACCTTGTCACAGCCCGCGACGTCACATCTGTGAACCTTGCGCCTTTTCAAAGCGTCCCCGCACTCACTCTCGACCCCTAAACTAGCTCCGTTTCCACCCACGCCAGCATTAGCTCTACCGCTTAATCCAATCCCACTCGCCAGCGTTGGTCGTTTGTGAAAGACACTGAAATCAATAAATAATCATGACAAACATTTAGTTTACTTTCGTTGGAAATAAATTTTCTGTATAATATAAAATACAAATAATTTTGTTGCCAATTTTAGGATATCGATTTTTGGATAGTATTTTAATATTAAATAATGCGAAAAGGAAAGGTATTTAATCATCCGATAGGGGTAATTGTTTTCTTCTGAAATGTTAGGACAACGTTCTCCTTCTCGTTCGACGTTCTCGATTCATATCCTTATAAGATCGAAAGGTCGGATCTATGGAGGATGAAAAGGACGATGAAGACGACGAAGACGTGTTCGAATCGTCCGCTTCTTGGATGATTCACGCGACCGATTTGTCGAGGAGGGGATCGGCGAGAAAGGAAGAGCACATAAATTATCCTCGAAACCGGTTAGCCGTTACTCGCCACCGTCCTTCTTCTTCTTCTTCTTTCTTAACTTTCTAATCATTTTCCCAGTAATTACGAATCCGATCGAATCGAATCGAATCAAATCGAATCGAATCGAATCATCCATCCTTCGTTTTCAATCGAAACGAAATTTAACTTTTGCATCGTCAACGAGGAAAAGTGTCATTAGGATCGATACTTGATCAGAATCCTAATCATCAGTAGAATCATGATCTTTTGCTTGATGCACAAGCAATAAGAGAAGTCTTGACAGCCGGTGTCTCTCTTTGAAAAGAGGAGAACTGCTTGCCGAGATCACTTTTTCCAAGACCTTCTTGTCCAAGCATTCTCTTTAACTATACGCCACACGGTATGGCCGTTGACGTTGATTATGACGGGCGAACGCGATTGGCAAAAAATCTGACGACCGATTTCAATTCCGATATGGCGGCTACGCCGACGTCTTCATCTTTTCATTTATTCTTTCTCTTTCTTCTTCTTCTTCTTTATATATTATTAACATAAGGCTTTTTTTGTTTATTTGTTTTTTCTTTTTTGGCTCCAGGTGCTTTACAAGGACGAACGAAAGGATTGATACGAACGTATCAGGGTCAGAGTTCCACGTTTTTCCACGAGAAGAAAAAAAAAAGGGCAAAAGAAACGTATTAGGAATTCGGATGCTGTTAAACGGAAACCAATAATCGTTCATATTCCTTGAATTCTTATTCCAGTTCGGTTGATTTAACGAACGAGTATACAGCTTCCGCGTTGTTCCATCGTCGTTTTTCCCACCCCGTTTACGAGTATATAAATTCAAGCGGATAGCCAAGCACCGAACAATTAAACGAGCGTGACGTTGTTACATTCCATCTAGTACGCCTATAATATTCGTTAGGATTTACGATTTATTATCGATTCTGGCTCGAGTTACATAAGCTATCGAACGAGATTATTCGTTTTATTAAGATAAAATATTATTTCTTAGATTACTTTTTGTTTTTCCTTTCAAGCAAAAGTAAGATCTCGAAAGAGTTTGTTGTTGGTTATCGACAAATATTTCGGCAATACGATGAAAAGAAAGACAGCAGGGTTTCTTGGTAAACAGTAGTCGTGTCCAAAGGGAATAAGGAAAAGATGTTTGGTTAGAGTAGTGTTGCGTTATTTTACGAACCGCCAACGAATAACGGACACCCGCTGTGAGTTGTTTTCTTCGCGAGAAGTCAAAGAAACCTTTTTGGTTGGACAATAAGAGGAATTCTCGAATGAGACTTTAGTTTTCTTCTCGCCCTTTCTTCCTCGTTACTTTCTTTGCCGTTCTTTTTCGTTCGCTTATGAAGTCGGTGTAATCCAGAAAAAAAAAAGAAATGAAAAGGAAGGAAGAAAGAAAAAAAGGAAGAAAGAAAGAGAAGATGATACAAGGAGCGTTGGTATCGAACTCGTTCGATCAATCTTATCTTGACGCTTGGTACTCCGGTGGGACTTGTTTTTCGGCATGGCCAGGGCGAGATCATCTAGATCCGCTTTCATTTCACAAACGTCCGCGCGAACTGTCACAAAAACGGCGAATTTGTGTTGCTTTTCTCTCTTCCTCTCTCTCTCTCTCTCTCTCTCACTCTTGGGAATTTCGATATAAGGAAGAGAGTTTCGTTAGAAGACATTCGGACAATGACCCTTAACTTTGGAATGCGACGAATTCCGAGCCGGTCAAAGTTCAAATCACATTTGAAGAGAAGTACGTAAGTAGAAATAAATTAAAAGGCAACTCATCGGTGAGCTTCTTTTTTTACTTTAGTCTCCAAGTCGAAAAAAAAAGAAAAAACTGTATAAGTATACTACTGGACGCTTTTAACAGTTATATATTTCATTTCATCGTAAAACAGTTTTTGTATCGTCTAAGAGGAAGAGTTAAATGAAAAGTTAACTTACCTCTCTCTCTCTCTCTCTCTCTTTTTGTAAGAAAGAAAATAAGATTTTTCTTTTTAGACACAGAAAACAAGAGAGAGAAATAGATAAACGTATATCCACCACAACCCTTGTTTCGAGGTACTCGATCGAGAATCGCGAGAACCGGATAAGCTAATTTACAGCGCGCGATAAGTCCGTTGGGACGAGTACAGGGACGATTCGAAAGCCGCTTAATTGGACGAAGGTTATAATAAGATCGCTGGTAACATGCGCTCGGGCACGTTCCCGACGAAGGATAGCCGCCACTCCCTGCACAAACTCTTTTCAAGGTGACGCGTACGTACATAGTACGTAAGTACATACGTATACGTAGTACCTATCTACTACCTTCCTTCCTACCTATCTACTTACTACCGACCTTCGTGATTCTTCTTTTTTCTTCCTTTTTTTTCTTTTTTTCGACATCGTCGCAAGATCCACAACTTGATTCACCAATGCAAACTTGCCCGTTAAAAATGACTTTTGATCGATATCGTTTCTCTTTCTTTCTTTCTTTTACTCTTGCCTTCATTTGAATGAGCTAAGTACGAAAATGTAAGCGAGCTAAGAATCTTTCCGAATGATCTTATTTCCAGGTTGTACTTTAATACGACGTATGTCGCCAGAGATTTATCCTATCTAATTAATCGAAACACGCGAAGAAGAATTGATTTAGGTCTTTGAAATGAAATTTACTTAGGTGAGCTAAGTAACCATCTAACTTACTAACGTACTTAATTCATTGGACGATAAAGACAGAGAGATAGAGAGTGAGAGAGGGAGGGAGGGGGAGGGAAGAGAGATACGATTATCGGACAATTTTTCATTCGACTGAACGAGCCGACAAGACGAGCTAATAGATACACGGGAAGATGAAATAGCGAAGTATATTTGTGGCAAAGCGGTTCTCCATCTCCATGGGGGGTGCTCGTATGCGGGTATCGAGAAGATGCGTTTATGTTTATGCGCGTGCGCAAAAAGGGAAGAGAGAGAGAGAGGGAGATAGTAAGGGTGAGCTAAGCTGCGTGATTTATATTTGCAACGAAGTATAACTATCGTTATCGTTTGGAGTTTAACGGCATCGGATTGAATCACCGTGGCAGACGCGTCAAGAGAAGTCAAAAGTCGAGTGAAAGATGTTAACGTTAACGTTATTTCGTTGGAATGACTGTAATGAGAAAGGATGATATTACTTTCGTGAACTTTCCATGGACTATAAATCGAGAAATGATTTCAATTTTTGAAAAATGTTACAGCTTGGAACAACATTTCGTAGCTACCAAGATTTGTTTTCCGAAAACAAAGATAATCAAAGTAATGAATGTGCAAAAGGAGAATCGTAATCGTGCAAAGAAAGAAATAAATCGAAAAAAGTTGAAATATATGATGAAAATATAAAATTATAAGAATGTAAAACTAGTAGTATAAGTAAGGTTTGTTAGCGTAGCACAGGTGTCACGAGATTACGATGTTTTCTAACCATATCATTATAAAACCCTCTCTCGCCTAGTCATTTTTTTTTAAATGGTAGACAAGAGTATTCCTCTTTATATTTCTTCTTTCTCTTTACAACGAAGTCACGCTCGTAAGGCAAAGAAGAAAGATAGAGATAGAAAGCAAATTAAAGGAGATTTACAGCGGGTGCACGATCTCGTCTTATTAACGCTGGACGTGCTTATACATTCGATGAAATATACTGCTACGTAACGGTCTAGGACTAGCTGGGTGAACGAGCCACGATATCCTGCTGTTTTCGAACGATCCTTGACTGATAATAAAGTCGCTCTTTGTAGATATCAAGTTGAACTGATACAAATAGATAATACTAGTATTTCATTTTTAATTGAAATATTATATCATTTAAAAATGAAATTGAAAAAATGAATATAAAATTGTAACACTTACAGAGATGCTTCCTTTATCCTTTGCAAAGCGAGAAGGGCTGCAGGGGAGGATACGAAAACTGGGTCGGGTGGTTCCATAACGCAAACGGAAACGTCCCTCTCTCTTTCCCTCTCACGTTGTCTCTCTCGATCGCGATCTCGTTCCCTTTCTCGATCTCGCGTTTCTCTCTCCCTGATAGCACTCTCTCGTTCTTGTTGTCGTTCCCTTTCGTTCTCTCCAGTTCTTTCTCGTCCTCTCTCTCGTGTTCTCTCCCTCTCCCGATCTCGTTCCTGTTCTCTTTCCCATGCTACTTCTCCCAAAGATGGCAAGGTGGGCGACACTGTGAACAAAAACAAAATTCATTTCATTTCTTCATATAATTTATTACTCTTTTAGAAATCACATAGAAATTGGTTGAAAAAGATAAGTATAAATAATATAAGTGATTATCAAAGGAAATGATTATCATTTATTTCAGACGATTTAACTTCGTTAGTTCGTAGGATCGATGTTAATGTCGAAGATCGTATCAAAGAGTAAAGATCGAAGGTCGAAACTCTGAAGAAGGACTTGGACGACCCAAACAGGACTGCATAAACGCAGTTTGTAGCGAAGAACACGCAGCAGGTTGCTGACAAGCTTCGAGCAACCGAAGACGTTTCCACAAATCATTCGACAATCCAACAAATCACGTAACGCGTCACGATCTCGACCAGGTGGATAAGGTAACATAAGTTTCTTCTTCCGTACTTCCGAAGTACTCGTCAGAGAACCTTTAGAGAACGTTAGATCGTTTATTATCTTTCTTAAATATGTCTCTTTTTGAATATATGCCAATCTTTCATTTCTTAGATAGAGTTAGGTTAGACAGGTAACACGTTATAAAAGTATTTAATACATTAGTACTTAGATGAGCATAAATATCCTATTAATAAACGTCAAGTTTTAAGGATTAAGCTTAAGCTCGTGGTTAAGGTGTCAATGTAAATCCGTGGTACATTAGGAGAAAAGCAGTTGCATTTAAGTGGCGCTAACTCAATGCCAATTAGTCGATTCCATGCTCGATAATCGATATTAACGTTTGGTCTGTTCGTCTTAAGAGCAAAGGTCTTTTACAGTAAGGACTCTAACTAAAGAATATTATAATCCGTTAAGCATATACGAAGAAAATTCTTTAGCGACCTTCGACATCGTAGGACTGTTACTTTAAGCTCACACACGGTAGAACGATATCTTCTTGCCTTGCTGGTTACAACGCACGCGTGGTACAAGAGGCATGTTAAACGTCCATGACATTACTGTTACTAATTAATACTCCTGGTCAATAGATTGCCGAGTAGCTTTCATGTTAGGAAGGCTCCAATATGCTACGCCTTTGCTATACAGCAAACGATTATCTATTGACCATCGTTTCAGAGAGAGAGAGAGAGAGATTCACTTTAATTTGAAGTAGACGCGTGCGCCTCTCCGCTAGATTTGTTTGATCGTCCAAGTCCGTCCGGTGCTTCGTATGATCGTTAGAAAAATTGTTATTTCTAAGGGACTACCTCGTTACGCGCTAATAGTTCCTTCGTCATGCTAAATTGCTTGGGTATATAATTAGTAAACACGTAATCGTTGCCTCTTCGCTATAGGTACTCGTTACTTTATTATTATCGAATTTTCTTTAATGAAATAAAGATATACGCTAAGGTATATTCTTATCTTAGTATTATGAATTTGATTTTTTTCATAACCATATCGCGTATTCATATTTTTATTTATCAAAGGACGACGAAGCATCCATAAGATGGCATGTACCGTTGCAATCGGTTTACGAATTAAGTAGTACACGATACGCTCGACCAGGCTAACGGGATTAAGAGATAATCGATTTGGGAGAGAGGAACGATCATTTATGGTCGAGTCGAGCATGCGATATTGCGTAACGCGATACTGGCACGCGAGTTTTCCCGTCCGTCGTGAATCAACAGGGTGGAGATTTATGTAAACACGCGAACTGACTCGACGCGAGCGCATAAACGCACACGAAGGGACACAGTTTCATTTCGAAAAAGATCGGATCGGACCTAATAAAAATATACGAAGATAAAATAGTGCCGAATAAATATGACCCAGAACATTTTCACTTAATTTCATAATTCTTTCTCGATAATATGTTGAAAAATGAAAAAAAAAAAAACAAATTTGTAATTACAATTAGTCGTTTAATTAGTCGATCCTTTGAACAAGTCGCTCATCCACCTTCATCGTTCCTCGTCATCATCGCCTTCTCCTTGAGGCATCATCTCGTTAGAGCCATTAACGCGACTCTCTCTTTCTCTATCTCTCTCACTCCTTCTGTCCATAGACAAGCACTATGATCTTCGCTATCTAATGGATGTCAGACTCATCCGAACGTTCTGACGGGTCTTCTCTTCTTTCGAAGTTCACATCGTGTCCTCCTTTTTCTTCCGACTCGCCCACGCTAAGAACTAAGCTGAACCTCGAGCATTATCGCTAATAACGCGGACTTACAATTCACTATCTTTCTCTTTTTATCTGTTTCTCTTTCTCTTGTATCGTTCAGTGTGCCTGACATGGACGTGCTATGATCGAGCGTGCTTAGAGTCAAGGGTCGCACGTAATTGATAATGTTAAATGCTGAGGTTAATCCGCCGATTTATGAGCAAAGTATGTAACGTGTATTTTTCGAATTTACCAATTTGAGGTATAATCGGTTGACGCTAATGGACCGCTGCCAAGGATACCTGCGTAAAGAAATAGAGAAAGAATGGTAGGGCAAAAAGAAAGGGAAGGAAGGAAGGAAGGAAGGAAGCTACAGGATAAAGGGAGAGATAAGTAGGTGATCAAAAGAAAAGGATGGATGAAAGCGTACTTTACGTGCACGGTAAGAAATAAAATACATGGCTTAGCTAATCCATGGGAAGAAGAGGATGAACCAAGTGGGAGGAGTTGAACAAAGAAAGAGATAGAGATAGAGAGAGAGAGAGAGAGGGAGGGATAGAGAACGAGTCTATATCCGTTCTTAGCTGCGTCGTGCTCTTTGACCCTATGGAATATTCGTATCGGCCTGCTAACGGTATGCCAAGCGGAACTATTGTACTCGAAGACGATACACGCTCGATTTAAACTCGCGATTGTTAAGAGAAGAGACGATGGATTGAGAGAAAAATGGTTAAGTCTTCGAAAATAGAAATTAGAAGGTAACCTGTTGCACAGCATCATCGATTATCGGGCTATACATTGTAAGGAATCTAAGTTGTTCTTATACGTGACCAGAAAAACAGAGAGAGAGAGAGAGAGAGAGAGATAGTTTAACGTTCACGTTCTTCTATCGTTTCTCCACCTTAGACTCGTCGATACGTGTGCACGAGTGAGCGCACGTTAAGTGGGTGGACGTGCCACCCGTATCGTGGAACTCGTTAGACGTGAGTTTTTAATTAAGTTTCCGGTTTAACGAACAAAATGAGGATTAGTCGGCGATCCGCCTTCTACCAATTAATCCTAGATTATTATTTCTCATCGTGGACGGCACAGGCCAGGATTTATAGCGCGAAATAACGGGTATCAATCGTGTTATGGCTAAGACCGCGTCGATTTACGTTCGAAGAAATATTCCAATGGATAAATATTCGTCATTATCGTCGATTTCTTTTTCTTCTTCTTTTTCTTTTTCTTCCTCTTCATCTTCATCATCTTCATCCTTTTCCTCTTCTTTCGAAAATTAAATTTGAAATTAATTAGCAAACTTGTAAGAAGACTAGCCAACGAATTACCGTGTCTTTTATAATAATTAAATGCCAGCTGTTATACGTTCATCGTTTTAATTGCAAGTCATGGGCAAAGGCAATAAGAAGAAAACATATCAAAGATTACTCCCAACATTTTAATGAAAATTATTAATAATCATTTTCAATATAATGACGTTGGGACATAAATGGAACTTTGTGAAATTGGATCGTATGATCAAACTCATCGATTCGATGCTACCACCTAGCTAGTACCGTTTACATTTCTTGGAAGAAGCAAGGAGAGTCCACCTGCGTAATCACAAGGAGAAATCCAGTGTGGGACGATGTGCACCGGTAAGAGCCGAATAAGACGTTAGCATAACTTGCACGGAATTGATCTTCATGCGGAGATAATAATTCATTCATGGCCCGGAAGGTATCAGTATGGAATACGTCAAGTAATTTCTTTAACGAAAACGATATCGACTGGGAGCTTTTAGATTCGTAACTCGAAACGTATAATAATCCTAGTGTCTTTCATCTATATACGTTTTATCGGTCTTTACATTCTATCGAGCACTTGAATAGAATCAAAATAAATCAATATAGTATAGTTAACTTAGGCAATATTTTAGTCCACGTCTATTTCGATTTTTTATAACTTGATCCATCGAGCCTAGTTGAGAATATAGATCAGCGTTTCGTTTAGAATATCTGATGATTTCGAAGAAAATTCATTGTCTTTTATTCGTGTCTAACGTACCGATGAATTTGTTTTTTTAACTCGATGTTAGATTTAAAAGAAGTATCCACGCCAATCTGATTAGAAAGTCAAATTTGTTTAATTTGCGATTAACGATCGAGTATGCGTAGTTCGAATAAAATAATGACGAACTAGTTGGCAAATGTAAAGGAACAAAAGGGCGGAGTTGCATTAGATTCATCGAAAGATCTCGTCATACCGCGTCTTTGTTGGCAATGTCTTTGCGAAGGAAACACGTAGGGTATATAAATTGTCGAAGTGAGGCGGGACACTCGGCGGTTGGTGCCGATACTCGATAAATCTATCCAAGCGTGATAGACGAGCCGAGGTGTGCAGGTTGGCTTTAGCTTGGCATGCCGGTGCATCGTCGTGGTGCATTCGAGAGAGAAAGAGAGAGAGAGAGAGAGATAGTATGGACGAGTATGCACGTCTCTTCGTCGATGCACCTTCACCTGGTAATCGTTTGTAGATGAATCTCACCGCGTGCTGCTGATTCTCTCTCTCTCTCTTTCTACTATTTTTTTTCTTAATACTTATTTTTTCTATTATCATTCTCCAAAAATAAATGATAGATTTATTTATAGAGGGAGAGAGGGAGAGAGGGAGAAAGGAAGATATGCTAAGTGTGAAGGATCATCGGTATTATTCAGCTCCTCATAGCTGCTGTTCCTTTATATTTATGAATAGTTGTTTAACATGCACTCGAGTGAACGTTCATAAACATAATCTCTGAGTTTCGTACTTAGCTATAACAGACAGACAGACAGAGAGAGAAAGAGAGAGAGAGAGAGAGAGAAATCATCAATAATTTCTTCAATCAAATTCGAAGAATCCTTAGATATT